ATGCTGCTGATGATGATGATGATGGCCGTTTATGCCTGCCACGACCCTGAGCAGGACAATAGGAAATGAAGATGCCATGATGACTCCCATGGACGCACTGATCATTGCATTCCATAATATGCTTATCAAGATTCTGAAGAAGGCTGTGGCTTTGCTGTGGCTTTGGTGCCAAGGCCCCAAAGGCTGGCCGCCTGGCCTGCCATCCTGGTTGATGTTGGTGCCACAGAAGATCGCCAGTCTCTCCGTCGGCTCTTCGTGTGTGACTTGCATGAAGATGCCACTTGTGCCTGCGCCAGCAAGCTGAAGAGACGGGATGGTGCAGATTTCCAGACATCGATGCATGACGAAAAAGAGAAGCGAAAGTGGGACGCCTTCGCCGCGACCGAAGCCATCTGCTCCATAGTCGAAAGTGAAGCAACGGCCCTTCGCCTCAGCATGTCGACGAACCCAGGCTTTTTAGGAGCGACAGGTATCCGTGTGTTTTTGCGTAATCAAGTGACTTCAGTTAGTCCTCTCATTCTGATGAGTATGGCACATGAGGCTCCCAAAGCCGAGCCGCTGAAAGCATCTTAGGGCCACAGAGCCCAATCCAGGAAAAGGGGCCCAGCCTTTCCAGGCACATGCGGCGCAGCCTTTTTGTTCCCACATCCACATCTTCGGTCAGACGTTCCTTTTTCACCAAGGGACAAGCCGTTGGTGCCCATGGCCAAAGCATGCTCGGTGCTTCCGGAGCTGCTGGTGATATTCTTCTGCCCGGGATCGAGCTGCCGAAGAGCCTTTCGTAGCATGACCGAGGCTCCCCGGCTACAGAGCAGTGCCGCAGTCGTAGCTGCATGCAAGGCGCATTGTGGGCTTCACCAGTCCTTAGCTAATAAAGCCAGCTGCTGGAGAACTGCTGGAGCATACAACACGCGTCTCCGGCAGAAAATGATGGGCCTAGCATCGCCACCAAAGACGACGAGCAGGCAGTATCTGATGTACTGATAGGCCCCGTCATGCCAAAAATGTAGGAAAGTCGTGTGCTCGTGGAATGTGCTGACATTGCCGACAACCTGCCGATGTCACTGAGGATGCATTTGAAGACATGAGCCGTGTCTGCACTCATGATCGCACCCTGCAACTGTTCTTCTGTTTTGTTTGGCCACGGCACCTAAAAGCCACCATCTCGGCCGACATACCTGGGACGATCTGTGAGGACAAGGTCCCTCAGACTTTTGTTCATCGGCAAACGGTGCAGTCTGGCAACTTGGAAGATCCGAAGGGAGAATAAGCTTCATGCCCGACCAGTCCGTCCCACAGTTGCCGATATAGACACCTTGGCAGTAAGGGGCAAAAAAAACATCAAAAATGCATTCAGGTCGTGAGCTGTGTGAACCGTCTGCACCGGACTTTCCTTGCCAAATGTAAGACTCTTCCCGGAAAACTCCCCAACATTCAACGCACAGGGTGGGCGCAGGTGTCAATGGATCCTCGTACGGATAAGGCCATACATCGACAATGCAAAGCGAGTCCAAGCCCTTTCGGCTTCAAGGCGCGAACTGAGCGCAGCACCTACGTTTGCATTCCCCAGCCGCTTCCTGTTCCATCCGGCCTTCAGGAGGGTCGAATAGCCTGAGCCGCGCAACATCGACCGCCCGATAGCGTTGCCTTTTGAAACACCATGGCTCAGCCATTGAGATTACGAAGGAGCTACACAGCAAACAAGGGCAGGTCAAAACGACAACTGATATCAGAAAGGATGGAGTGCTTTTCGGTCCTTGCTTTATGGTCCTTTTTTTCGGCGGCTGTCTTAAAAGCTTAGCTTTTCGGAGGTTTTCATGAGGAAAACCTAGTCTGTGGTGGTGTTGGGCAAACCCTCGTCCCTCGTCTGTGGTGCGTTTGAAAGCTCCGAAATACCGTGATGTACACTACTCCATTCCTCTCTTCATGAAAATACATAATTTCGTTTTGTGTATATATATATATATATTTATTTATATTTATATTTATATTTATATTTATGTTGAAACATATGTATACATATATATATATATATACATATATATATAATACATATTACATATATATATATATACATAAATATGTACTAATACACATAAGTATACATGTGTATATTATACAAATATATATATGTGTGTGTATAACAGATTAGTGAAGCTACTAAAGTATACTACCGCTGAAACATATACTATAGAGCGAGTGAGTGAGTGAGTGAGTGAGTGAGTGAGTGAGTGAGTGAGTGAGTGAGTGAGTGAGCGAGTGAGTGAGCGAGGGAGTGAGCGAGGGAGTGAGTGAATGAGTGAGTGAGTGAGTCAGTCAGTGCGTGAGTGAGTGAGTGAGTGAGTGAGTGAGTGAGTGAGTGAGTGAGTGAGTGAGTGAGTGAGTGAGTGAGTGAGTGAGTGAGTGAGTGAGTGAGTGAGTGGATGGCCGGGGGCGCACTCCGGCCGAACGGAAATGCTCCCTGCCGCCATCTTTTCCCCCCCTCCGTTTTCGTCATCGGGGACATCCGGCAAGACTTCTTCGACGCTCCGAGCCTTTCAATCCATGCAAGAAAAAGGGCCACACGAACCTCCATGTTCTCAGGAACAAACTCAGGAACAAAAACTCTTCCCCCTGTGATGCCTCACACGGGTACTAAGCTGGGGGCACTGGCTCGGAGAAAAGGCTTGGGGTACGGGGTGGCCGAACCAAACATGCACACAAGCACCGGCAGCACGACTAAGGGAAAAAGCAAACTCAGCTGATCCGCTGTTGGCTGCGCAGGCTCAAACAGTACATATGCTTTAGAAACGATGGATACTGTAGCGACGGTACACTGTATAGATATTGTAGATACTGTTCATATACTATACATATACTAAAGATATGCTTTAGATATAGGAAAGATACCGACGATGATATACTTATTACGTATACAAATATATATATATATATATATATACATATACACATATATATATATGTGTGTATATATGTGTTTGTGGCTGGAACTTTTACGCTCCATTTAACAAGCTGTTAATATTACAATATATTTTACCTAATGCAAACACAATATACATACACTAGTCACTAGTCATCTGTACGCTAGCCGAACCAGAGGATGCACACGAGCTTCTGGTGAACACTGCTGATGTTGCGATAAGAAGTACAAATGCTATTCATCTTGTGATGGGACGCAGCGTGCAGATACGAGAATCGTTCTGCTTGTGACAAAACATATTGACTACTATACCAACACTGTTCATCCTGAGGCGCATACATTGCGCCAACGGTTGCAGATCAATGCTTGCATTTGGTTCGGACCGAAGACGGTATGTAACAGATACAAGAGCCAGTCTGGGCCCTATGCAGTCATGACTCGTGTCGGTGATCAAGGTCGACAAAACATGCGCCGGCAGTTGCTTCTTGAATCATGCCATGATTCCTGGACCAACAGACATGTTCCAGCGCCTGCCTCCGGTGACCGTTTACACGAGTGTGTTCGGCAGACAGGAAGCATACGCTAACCGACATCAGGCAATTCCATACTCCGACGCAATGTAAATCCTTCTTTATGTATAAGTTTTGTCTCCTTCAG